TTTTGCATTACCATTGTCAAGAGTTTTACATGCAACACTCTACTCTTAATTTATAAAGTTTGCAGCAGCAAATATCCCTGTTGTTAAGCCACCTTGGTCACATCTGGTTCCTGAATCCTGGATTTAGTAGTGAGATTGTGCTTGTGGTTAACAATCTGTCCTTGTTGGAGAGGGGTGTGGGAATGTACTTATCTTATTAGAACTTTTAACATTAATCATGAAGTGTTGATGATACGTCTGTGGGAACTGTCAGGAGTTGTGGGTCTGGTATAGAGTCAACATACTGGAACACCCTAGAAGGTGATTATCGATGCATGCAGATTCCTTTCTTGGGATCACTCTAATGGGAGGACATTTTCCTTCAGCCTCCACTCTCATTCGCTCTAAGGAAGGTGGATAAACATCTGCAACCCTTAGTTCCTACTAGAGGCCTTAGATAACAATTCGATTCTGGGTTAATTCTCTCACATCCCCACTTTGTCTTCACATAGTTAGAGAATTCAAGCATATTCTCTAGTCTGGAGATCCTGAGACTTTATTTTCTCATATTAGAGGAGAGAATGCAGTGGCACTGTAAAATAAGCACAAACATATGGCTGCTGCTGCTTCTTTTTAGCCAACTTTTATAATGTATGATTTCTTCAAAACACGTAGCAAAGGCTGAAAAAGGTGAAATATGAAACATGGTTTTCATACTCTCTCACACACGTATCCCATAAGATTTTTTTATGCTCAGAGAAAAATAAAAAAATTGGGATACAACTTGCTTTTGTGGTAAAATTCTTGGGATGAACAAAGGTTTGTTTAATGGGTTGCCATTCCTAAACCAAGAAACCTATTGCCATGCTTTGTTGAGTGTGTCAAATAGCAAAGACTAGTGGGAGACTGGCATGAAATATGATAGGTACTCTTGTTGCCTGAGGTGTGTTTGTGACTGATTGCTGTAGCATTTTACGTCATCTTTAGAAATGGAAAATGCCCGTGTGAGCATCCCCTGCCTTCTCCAAGAAAACTGAGCACCTTGTTAGTTGGAAACTTTTCTAGTTTTTCATCAGTCTCCTGAAAATACATATGATCACACCACGGCTCCTTCTGAAACCCACATCTGAAGATGAGAGAATGAATTACAGAAAGCTTTAAGATGTGAAGAGTCAGGAAGAACACATGTATTTGAGTCCATTTCTCCCCCTTAAATGATAGTTGTATTTTCTGAAGCAGAAACTGTAATGATAGTATCTAGGCGAGAAACGGTTCAGTAAAGGAGACTGGATATTTTTATTCCAAATGAAACTGGAATTGAATCTGACAATATTTTTTTGTCCTAATTCTCTAAAGTTTCTGCTAAAAGTGCCAAAATAAAATAGAAAATAACATGGAGGTTATGTAACTATATTTTTTTGAGATGGATGTTAAAATATGTAATCTTTTTTTTAAAAAAATTGACGATGCTAGGTACCTGGTGCTGAAGTCATACAACAGCTCCTTTGTTTGCATCTGGTCTGCTGTTCTATCAGCAGTGGGGTTATTGAATTTAGAGTGAAGCCTGGCAGTTAGGGAGGGCAGCTGCACTTGGCCCCTCACCCAGGATTTCAAATGGAAACCAAACCATTCTGCCAGTAGGGCTCTAAGATTAGCTATAGCTAATGCTGTGCCAAACTGCCCTCCTATTTATCAAAACTTTCCTTCCTCTACAAAAGAGCCTTTTCCCCACCTCATTCTTGGGCCACTGTAATGATTCTGGTGGACATGGGGTTTTGATCTTACATTATTGTGGTAAGATGCCCAAGGGTTATGTCTGTGTTTCTCTGCCCAGTAAACATTTCTCCAGAACCCTGCAGCTTCCTCACCTGCCTGGGCTTCCTGATCTGAGAAGGTCCCTCAGGAGCTTGCCTCATGATATCTCATGATCTGAGAAGGTCCCTCAGGAGTTACCTCATGCTGTCTTCCCTTGGTTTTAATTGAAGCATGAGCACCTGAGAGGGCTGCAGAATACAGACTACTTGCTGAATGGTTTGTAGAATTAAAGAAAGGACACTCCACCCAACACACTCCCCCAGCTTCCACAAAGAAAATTAAGTTACAGATAGGTAGCCGTGTTGGTCTGCCATAGTCAAAACAAAAAAATTCCTTCCAGTAGCACCTTAAAGACCAACTAAGTTAGTTCTTGGTATGAGCTTTCGTGTGCATGCACACTTCTTCGGAAGAAGTGTGCATGCACACGAAAGCTCATACCAAGAACTAACTTAGTTGGTCTTTAAGGTGCTACTGGAAAGAAAATTAAGTACACCCACTACATCCATAAAATGGAGGAACTGCTCTCAGTAGATGGGAAGGAACCACTATGCTGCCCTCCTGACAGGTGAATTGCTGCTGCTTACCAGGAGGAAGATTCGTGGGAGGGTTGGTGTGGTGCAAAAGCACTGGCAGGAGTGCTGTGTTCGTTGTGCTGATGCATTTTCACCTTGCCAATGTTCCTGCAACCTTGCCTCTCCCCACAGATGACCCATCTGTGGGGAAGTGAGTGGAATGGCTCCACCCAATGCTGCAAGCCACTCCTGCTTGCTCTGCTTCAGAATCCTAAACTGTAGGAACCTTGCTCCTTTTGGAATATGATCACTCTAATTTTGCAACAGGCAGACCCACCATATCACTATGAATAATTACTAGTTACAAGCTAGCTCAGCTGCTGACTGGACGACAAACCAAGACACCCATTATAACCCTGGGGAGTAATTTAGCTCCAAGGTGACCTGACCTCAAGAAGGCTGCTACAGCAGATGGAAAAGCCCTGAGAAATATGGATATTTCCCTAACCTTTGTAAGATTGTTCTAAGTTAACCTATCATAAACTCTAACAAATGTAATATTTAAAAAATGTGAAACCTTTGCTAGGGAATGAGAACTTCATGGAAGCAGAGAAGCATGCTCGCGGATAGTACAGGAACATGAACAGTTTAGCCTGCAGCCTCCTTGAAGGAAAGAATATATTATGCTCCTCTGTGGAATGTTCAGGGGCGAAGATGTTGCAAGGGTTCCCTTCCCCCCGTTATATTATTTATTGGGATTCTCCCTCCTCCCCACATGGGAAGTGGTGTATCAGAAATGCCAGCCAAGGTTCTTCAAACTTTTGCAGAAATAAACAAAGAAGCAATGTTTTCCCCACAACAGGAGTAAAACTGCAACTGTCGGGTACCCACCAGACAAAAAGTCTTTCCTGAGGCACAAGCAGGAAAGAGAGGCAGGAAAAGGCAGAACAGGAAGCAGAATAGTATATCCAAGAACAGCCTAGGTAAAGGAGGACAATGTAGGCAGCTCTTCAAGAACAAAAACAGCCCAGAAAAAGGATTGTCCATATGGAAAATCTGGAGCACTACAACAGTTCTTAGAGCAGTTAGTTTGCTTTCTGAGAGTACTTTGATTGTGAGAAGTAGCTGCTCAGTCAGCTGAGATCTGAGAATTGCAGAAGAATAAGGCCTCTTCTACCATCACACTTCCTGTGTGATGGGCTCCTTGGAGGAGGAAGGGTGGGATATAAATTTGATAAATAAAAAATGTTTAAGGACGCTTTTAATCTTTGATGTATTACTGTATTTTAATATTTGGTTGGAAGCCACCCAGAGTGGCTGGGGAAGCCCAGTCAGATGGGCGGGGTATAAATATTATTATTATTATTATTATTATTATTATTATTATTATTATTATTATTATTATTTGCATGCTTATTCCTAGTTGGAGGCCATCTCCCTGTAGGAAAATTGCTCAGGACTGGAAAGAAGAAAAAGCACCAACAAAAGACAAATGGATTTTAAAGCTAATGGACTATGCAGAGCTGGTGAAACTAACAACAAAAATAAGAAACCAACATGACGGACTATTCATGGAAGAATGGAAGCGCTTTATGAAATATTTGGGAAAATGTCATAATCAGATGAAATCACGAGCAGAATTTGAAATATGAGCAGCGGTGGAAAATTGATAATGTATGAAATAGAATAATATGTCTTAGGTGAAACATTTATTAGAATGTAGTATGTAAATGGATGGGATTAAGAACAGCACAGGGGGGAGATGGGAAGTCAAAGTTTAAAGAGAAATGTATAACAAATTTGGAATCTGGAATTTGAATTGAAATTTTTAAAAATGTAATAAAAATTTGACAAAAAAGGAAAAGGAAAACGCTCAAGTGAACTACTCTTTATAGTCACACTAGAAAAACTTTCAATGTTCATTTTTTCTTTCTGGGTTCAGATGGATGGTTGTGTTGAGGTTGAGTTTGCTATCTGTGAGGACCAGATGGTTGGGGAAGGCAATTCCATTGTGACTGTGTGGTGTGCTGCTTTAGCAGAATGAGTGCTTATAGGATGCCAGCCTTCATGGGTGGGCATCCTGACACTCATCTCATCAGGAGTGCCAACTGGGCCCCACAATCATGGGTGCCCAGGGTCGTGTACCCTGGCACCGAAATTTGTGGGTGCCCAGCCCCTCCATGGGGAATTTTGGGGATGCTCGGGCACCCAGAGCCCCAGGGAGTTGGCACCTATGTCTCAAGGTGCGGGTTGTACTAGCAGTATTGCCAGCATTTCCCAGAGTTTGTTTGTTCAAATAAGAGAAAGTCGAAGATGGGAGCATACTGAGGAAGGGAGGAAATAAAATAAAAATGAGACAAACATGCTAAAAAATTTATATGGTGGGGCCCATACTACAGGTTGGGTCTGAAGTGTGCCCTTGATTTGAAAAGGTTGATGATTATTGGCTGAGGGCACAGTTTCCGCTGTTCATTACCAGAAAGGCTCATTTTTCTGTTGCTCTAAGGGCATTACTAGGTCTTATTATCTTTTGCCTAACCGGTTTAAATTCACAACGAGAAGAAACTTGGAGGGCAGCCTGGATATGCACAGGAGACTTGCTGGGCAGACAATGACGCTATGCAAACAGCAGCTTGAAACACAGGTTATTAGTGAGTGAGGACAGAGGACTTTGACCTGGAGTCAGGAGGGGGAAGCCAGTTCCAGAAAGCAGGGGAACGGTGGCCAAAAACAATCTCGGAGAGCAACAGTGGTATAGTCAGCACCTTAGGAGGTGAATCTTGGTCCAAAGGCAAGCACAGCAGGTGAGATGGAAGGAAATGCAGAAACTGGTAGTGTGTGTGTTTTTAGACAGCTTGACTTTGAAGGAAGCAGTAATTTATGTGCAATCATGAGGAAAGCAGTGAAAAGCCTCTGCTGGAAACAAGAAAATTGGGACATTTTCATTGCCAGTCAATCTGCTGCTTTAAAAAGCAGCACTTCGCATTCCTTTGGGAGCTGTGAAGTTCTGCTCCAAAAGAAACAAAAGCCCAAACAAGTTTTACAGACCAATATTTACCTGAGATCTCTCTTTAAAAAAACCCCACAAAAAACAAGGCTTTCGTTTTCATTAAATTTACAACATTAAAAACCTTTCAATTGAAACTTTTATATGGCAGTGAAGAAGATGGATATGGTTTGAATGAGTAGGATTGCACTGGGAAGCGATATTTTGTACTGTACGTTACTAGCATGGCCAGAAGCGGTAGCTAGAACAAGGTTGATGAAACTGTGGCCATCCAGAGGTTGTTAGACTACAAATCCCATAATCTCTGACCACTGGCCATGCTGGCTTTTGCTGATGGAAGTTGTGGTTCAACAACACCTGGAGAGCCACAAGTTCTCCATTCCTCAATGTAGGATGGGCCTGGGTGATCTGGTGAGCCTTCTGCCTCATATCACCTCACAATTGTATCTATGGTTGCTCTTTTTTCCACAATCTGACCACCTTATCCCTCCAGCCAATTAATTTTTGACCTTGAACTGTAATAATTGGCCTGTATAGGAGATGAAGAGATGGGTTGGTGGTTGTAGAGAAGCTGGAATGTATCCTACTATACAAAGGTAAGAGTCATAACCATTGTTCCCCCAACTTTTGCCTCTAGCCCTGCTCATCATTGGCATGTGGACCCCAGAAGGTGAGAGAATATGTCCTTCAGAGTTCCTGCCAGTTATGCTGGGCTCTGCACATATAGATTTGTTCAGATGTACGTAAACAAGCGGTGTGCCTTTGTGACCCTACTGCTCTTTCCCTCCTCCTTTCTTGCTGCACCACAATAAGCTAAGAAGGTCTCAATTAACCACAGTTTCCTGTTGCATCCAACCAGGAACAATGGTTACTGCTTCGGAGCAAGTCAGGATTTTAATAAAGCATGGGTTAATATTTAGCTTGTTCTGAACTTGGTATCTATCATCTCCTGGTTTGGATGTAATAGAAAACAATGTTATTCATTGTTTTTATTTTATTATATAATTGAAGATTTCTGGAATTCCTGGAATTCAAGGAAGGGAGGAAGGGTGCTTGCAGAAGCAAGGGTAATTTATATAGTGGTTTATTAAGACAAGACAAGTATTTTGAACTCAACCATCACTTTTAGTTACTCCATAATTACTCTTGTGTGGAATTATGAACAACTTACCTTATCAAGCTGCACGCACTCAGAGTATGTCCCATTATAAGATTTATGGAATATAATGATTACCTTGATTTCTGTGTGCCATTTTCCTGTCCGAATGTGGCTCTGAACTGTTGAGTTTCTTATATTGCGAATATTCTAATTAATTATTTTACTGTTTGTCTCGTGAAATTCAGTACATCTGTGATGCTGTTTTGCATTCATGGGAAAGATTGAGTAGTTGTTTAAAAAAAAAGGCCTGCTAGTCTATCTGATGCTTGTCTCTGTAGTATTTTGTCACTAACTCTACTTCATCTTCTTGCTTCCTCATTTGCAAAGGTGACTTCATGTTCCTTGGAGGGTCCATTCAGCTTTGGCAAGGGCACAGCTAATAGACTCTCCGGTGTCATGGGACGCCCTTGACCCATTCCGTCAACACCATTCTGTAGAGGATTATGGAAGACAGCCAGGAGACAGATGTCACGTTTTACCCTTTGTTCATGCAATTTCCTTTGCCCTCTTTTATCGTGAGTGCTGATGACAAGATGTGTTATTGCGTGTTGAATAACCAGGGCTGTAGCTACTTGGCGAGATAATGAAAAATAAAACAAACAGCAGCTATAGAATTGCAAAACCAAATTTTCCAAAATTGTTAGAAGCATTTTCTGCATGTAGCGGAGACCTACCACGAATCTCTCACAGAAGCTTCTGTTACATATATTTTCAGAAAGGGGGAATTCACAAACTTAAACTGTTCAGGTTTGATCTGGTAAAGAATCATCAGCTGTATTTATTTAAGTACTGAATTGCAACTCTATTTATTTTTAGGATATCCTCTTACTGAAATGCTTAGTTGGAGCATAGCGAAACAATTGCTGTCAACTGCAAGTGTGTTGTTTGGGTGATGTATTGCGAACCTCAGTGATGAATAATAATAATTTTTAAAAGCAAGAAGCAAGTCACAACATTGCTTAGAAAAGCTAAGTATTCATACACTACTTTAAAGGGGAAATAATAATAATAATAATAATAATAATAATAATAATAATAATAATAATTTATTTATACCCCACCCATATGGCTGGGTTTCCCCAGCCACTCTGGGCAGCTTCCAGCAGAATATTAAAATACAATGATTCATCAAATATTAAAAGCTTCCCTAAACAGGGCTGCCTTCAGATGTCTTCTGAAAGTCCGATAGTTGTTTATTTCCTTGTCATCTGATGGGAGGGCGTTCCACAGGGTGGGTGCCACTACCGAGAAGGCCCTCTGCCTGGTCCCTGTAATTTCACTTCTCGCAGTGAGGGAACCACCAGAAGGCCCTCGGAGCTGGACCTCAGTGTCTGGGCTGAACGATGCGGGTGGAGACGCTCCTTCAGGTATACTGGGCTGAGGCCATTCAGAGCTTTAAAGTCAGCACCAACACTTTGAATTGTGCTCGGAAACATACTGGGAGCCAAGTTTAAAAAAGGGATGATTTGTGTTAACCTCTCCCTTATTTGTGTTAACCTCCCTCCCTCCTTCCCTCAGGCACAGTAAGCCTGAGGCCACGGGGGGGGGGGTGCAGGGTGTGTGGAAAACAGCAACAAATGACACAACAAAAACTTGGGACCAAAATGGACACAACTTTATTGATTACAGATAGCAGTAGGCTTTGGAATAGGCACTGGGTATGTATCCTGAATCAATTAACCCAATTGCTGGGTTATGGATACCCCCGTGATGCAAATCAAATACTGGTGATCCCTCCAGAATGCCATCTGGGGAGTTCTGTGGCCCACTAGCTTATTCTATTGCTCTCTTCCACCTGGTTGTCAGTTTTCCCCCTCTCAGTCTTTCAACATACCATACCACTGAATTATGATGATGCTGGTGTCTGTGTAGTGGTACCTGTTCTTCCACCTGCATAATTTTATCTTCATTCCTTGTGGTTACCTCGAGTCTTCCAATACCACTTTCTTGTGCATAGGTGCTGTGCTTTTGGCTACCTAAGCACAAGCCCAGGAAAGCTCTAATGGATCTCACTACATACTGTAGATATGTTGCATATGGCAGCCCCTTGTTTTCTGTGAGACTCAACTCTGTTGTTGAATGAGCTGATTCTCTCTTTCTAAGGATACCTTTCCCCACTGCAACTCGACCATCCCTCAAGCTATTTGCCTTGTTCTAAGAACACACCCTGGGAAACATAGCTTATTCCCCCAAGTCATGCTCTGTAACTAATGGGCTGTTTGAAATGTGCTGTCTCCTACTGCCTGTCGAGTCCTGTTAATTGAAACAGAATGGGGGGGAAATTGAGGTTGTTTTTCTTATTTTCAAAAAAGTGGTTTAATTCAGCCAAGACACCAAGAAACAGACTCTCCACTTGCCTCCCTCCCAAGTGATTTTAGAAAGAATCTTTTCAACCATAAGACATCAGTGGTGTGCTTCTGCTTCATCTGATAGATTTCCTGTCAGAAGAGGACTTCTCATATCAAACTCACATGTAGAGTTAGTCCTCCTGATTCAGGACTCCTACTGAACGAAGGGTAGTAACGAGCACAAAGTCCTGTAGTGTCTTCAGATATTTTCCTTCATTAGGATAACTTAGCAAGCCAGATCATGGCTATAAAAGTAAGTAAGCAATCAAATGCAATTCTGGGCTGCATCAATAGGAGTATAGCATCTAGATCAAGGGAAGTAATAGTGCCACTGTATTCTGCTCTGGTCAGACCTCACCTGGAGTACTGTGTCCAGTTCTGGGCACCACAGTTCAAGAAGGACACTGACAAACTGGAATGTGTCCAGAGGAGGGCAACCAAAATGGTCAAAGGCCTGGAAACGATGCCTTATGAGGAACGGCTAAGGGAGCTGGGCATGTTTAGCCTGGAGAAGAGGAGGTTAAGGGGTGATATGATAGCCATGTTCAAATATATAAAAGGATGTCACATAGAGGAGGGAGAAAGGTTGTTTTCTGCTGCTCCAGAGAAGCGGACACAGAGCAATGGATCCAAACTACAAGAAAGAAGATTCCACCTAAACATTAGGAAGAACTTCCTGACAGTAAGAGCTGTTCGACAGTGGAATTTGCTGCCAAGGAGTGTGGTGGAGTCTCCTTCTTTGGAGGTCTTTAAGCAGAGGCTTGACAACCATATGTCAGGAGTGCTCTGATGGTGTTTCCTGCTTGGCAGGGGGTTGGACTCGATGGCCCTTGTGGTCTCTTCCAACTCTATGATTCTATGATTCTATGAAATATAAATATGGCATTGCCCTACACATAAGTAGCACAGGCTTCTGAAAGTTGGACTTGGGTGTGTTTAGTAACTCAGGGAACCCTAGCATGCTTGTTATCTGGGTTGTAAGCAAACACATTTACACATCTTTCCTACAGTATAGTCAGGATTTTAATTACTGAGTGACTTGGTGGAACACAACCTCGACTGAAAATGAAATGAAAGAAAAGAGCCCGCAGAGAAAATACTGATCTGATGTAAGCCTGGTTGGCTTGTGAAACTTTTAGTGCTATTTTTCATTTTATGGAACTTTTAATGCGTGAAGTGCTACTACAGAATTCAGAATTAGTCTTCCTGCCTGACCAGGTCTAGCTTGTTTGTAGAGCAAGGGTAGCCAAAATGGTTCCCTCCAGGTGTTGTTGGACTACATCCCCCATTTATACTGTAAACTTCCCTGTGATCCTCAGATGAAGGGCAGCATATAAATTTTATTTTAAACAAACAAACAAACAAACAAACAAACAAAACAAACAAACAATGTCCCCCCGACTGTTGGTCATAATTACTCAGGTTGATGGGAGTTGAGGGTCCAACAACATCTTGAGGACACCATGTTGGCTACCGCTGATGAAGAGAAATTGAGTCCGAAGGAAAACCTGGATAGGAAATCTTGCCAGATGTAGGTATGTGAAAACTGCAGTAAACATGGGCCTTTTCTATGGTGGCTCCCCATCTCCCCAGGTTCACCTGGCTGCATGGTGCCAGGTGAAAACATTCCTTTTTTACCCAAGCCTTCGGACATTAAATAATCTATGGCATGTTAAATGTGTGTATGTGGGGGCCTAATATTAGCATTATCTTAATATTATTATGCACAGTACCAACACCTCTTTTTTGTCAAAATGTGTGACATTTACTGTAACATCTTCATGGTGAGTACCGGCACCTATTTTTTGGGGGGGGGGGCAGGGGAAGCACTGATTATTCTGCATAAATTATGTTCTTAGTGTTATACATCACCTTTGGATCTTAGGATATAGGCAGTATATAACCCAAATAAATAATAATACATCAGGGTGACCACTTTTATATCACCAAAAAAACATGGCGGAGGTTGACATAGATTTGCACCAGCTTATAGGTATAGGTTGAAATGTAGAAATAATTACTATATTTTGAAGTGCATCTCACCATAGTGAGGAAGACTATGTTGACCCATGTGAGAGCTCAGTCTATAGTCCAAATGCTTATTGTTACTGATAAACTCCAAGGCCCCCTGCTGCTCTCCCTTCTTAGGGTTCTGGATCTTTAAGCCAAGCCTGAACTTGACAGCCCTTCCAATGGAGGCTTCCTTCAAAGAAAGAACTGTCCCATATAAAGCAGAGTGGTAGGGAAGGCCTAGGGATGACTTGCACCTGCTCTCTCCACCCATGGCAGCCAATAGGCACATAGACTCTCACACAGAGATGTGCACATGCTGTCCTTCAAAATGTACACATTTACTTTTCTATCCCAGTGCAATAAATTTGTGCTCCTTCATAGGTATAATTCCAAAAGCATTTCCCCAGGGCGGAAAAAGAACCCTACATTCCAGTTGCTCATAGATCCTCTTCATTCCTATTCTGCAACTGTGACACAAGCAATCTGCTTTCCCTTTCAGATATTCCAGAAATAATGGGAGCGGGGTAAGTGGAAGAAAATAATAGGCATCTAATAAAAACGTAGAGGAGGAGGAGGAGGAAACCATAGGGCTTGAATGAGTGGATTTAATGTGTGCATGGGGTCCTATTTGTCCAGTTTCTCAGGGGCCCTGTAGGTGTAGCCACAGCCATGATGGAAATCATCTGTGTCTAGTTTTACATGGTTTCCATCTGAAACCAGGCCAAACTCTGTCCTTTCAGCTGAGCTTCATGGAGCGTTCTGGGCTTTGTTCAAACATGGAATTCAAACAAAACGCAGAGGAGGAACGCAGCATTTTATTTTATTTTATTTAAAAACACAGTGGTTTTCATAAGCCCTTTGCAAATGGAACCCATTAAGCTTTGCGCAGGGTAACCAGCTCGCTAGTGTTGATATTCTTAATGTAGCATAGAAAGTGAGAGTGGAAGGCTCCCAGCACATGAGAGAATGAGACGGGAGATGCCACAATTGCAACAATTGCAACTTGCTTCTCCCCATTCCCTGACCTGCTTATTCTTCCAGCTAGGATTAGGATGAGCACAAACAACAGCTTCCATCTCCCTTCTTCCAAAAACGACTCCAGAACTTGTCCTCCCCTCAGTGTTTCCACCCCCTCCTCTTTCACACATATGGCTCTGCTTTCCACACCGACCAGAATGTCCTTCCACATCAAAGGGACCCCTCTTGAGACTACACAATTACAGGGACTGGTGTGTGCACGTGCGCCAA